CAAATCGACCGCTGCGGCTCCCCCGTCAACAGCGCTTACTCCTCCTGACGAGGTGGGAGTACGTGCGTTGATTCGGGGATCGATTTATCCGTATAGATGAGATGCGATAAATCGATCCCCGAGAGATCAATTTCTACCCGCCGATCCGGGCGGGTAGTGTAGACTAGCCCTAAGAAAGATAGAGATATATGAAGGATGGTGCAGGAGAGAGATACATATAATCAAATACATGCAATGTTTACACATATATACATTCACATTTTCAAAAATTATAAATAAAATGAGTCACTTACCTCCATCTGCTCCTCAGCCTAGCCATTACTTGGTTGATTTCTTTAGAGGCATTACAGCAGAAGTGAATGTTGAGAAGGGATTGGTAGGGGCTGTATGCATGACTGTTTATATGAAGTTCATAATTACCAGGTTATTCTTTGCCTAGTGTTGTGTAAAATTGTACAATTTATTGAGAAGTATATTTGCAATCAGCCAGCTCTTCCATTTTTACTCAAGGAGCCAGAGTCTTTATGTAGCCTCCCAGCTCTGGTATAGTCACTGCTTTTTGTTTATAATGCCAACAGGACTTCAACTATCCTGCTCCATTTCGTGTTTCTTTGCTAAAAGGACCTAGAGTGGGAAGAGAGATTTTGTGACATCACAGTAGTTATGTGGTGACAAGCTGAGTTGTAATTATTTTTAAATGACCTTTTTCTTGCTCTTTGTTTGCTGCTATTGAATTCAGCTTATGGAAAGCCTATACTGCATTTCTATTTTTTTCTTATAATGAAAAACTTAACCAAGAGCTATATGGACAGAAAAAAGTGCCTAATTTTTGATTTTGCTAGAATGAAAATGTTCAAAATTGGGAAATGCCACTGTGATCAGAGCAAGATAGCACATTTCTGGAATTAAAGCCCTAGAAAATGGGAACTGTGATTTTACTAATCCTGAAATTCAAGGACATATTATTGCTATGACATTGTTTCTCAAAAAAAAAAAAAAAAAAAAAAACCTAGGTTGTCTAACCGAATTTTTTTCTCATGGAATCCCTCTACTAGATCCTTTTAGTTGTGACTAGGTTTATTTTGTTATTGACTGACAGTTTTAGATATGTTTGCATAAGGTATATGCTCAATAAGGGTTTGATCTATCAAATCTTCCTCACCCAAATAGTTACATACATGGGTACTTCCATTGGCTTCAAGGACAAAGGCCATGTCTATGCTACCACTTATGTCGGCAAAACTTATGTCACTCAGAGGCATGAAAAAACCACACCCTGAGCAACATAAGTTTCGCCAGCATAAGTGGTAGCGTTCGCAGCACTATGTCGGCAGGAGAGCTTCTCCTGCCGATGTAGCTACCACCGCTCATTGGGGATAGTTTAATTATGTCAACAGGAGAGCTCTCTCCCATTGGCATAGAGCAGCTCCATAAGAGATATTACATCTGCACAGCTGCATCGTACAGCTGTGCTCCTGCAAGGTCTCTAATGTAGACATAACCTTTATTTGCATGAATATGGGTTGCATCAACAGAGTCAAATGCCCAATTCTGCCTTCAATTACATGTACAGCTCTCAGTAATTTTAGCTCCACAGAGAACAAATGAAGGGCCAAGAGAATTTTTTTAAATTTAGTGTCACAGCAAAGATGAATTCAAAAACATACAAACATATTGCTAACTTCCTTATGGTTACGCCTACAGTGTGAAACCATTGTCAGCCTAAGCTAATCTTGAGAGGACTTTAAAGTGTCTTTAAAAAAAAATTAATATCAGAAATGTGTTGACATAGTGAATTCAGCTCTGGGAAGTGTGAGAATGATGTACTGTAGTGATGTAATAAAATGTAGATTTAAAGAGACACTGCAGTACAAAAACTTGAAGAAAAGATGGGGAAAGAAAAGGCTGCAGGAAACAATCTTTTTCATATGGCTTAGTATAAATTCAATTACAATAGCTGTATCTAGGAACAGAATTCATAAACAATTTTCACTTTGGGCTGTATTACTTCAGCATTTTCGATAGATGAATAATTTTGTGTAGCATAGAATGCTATATAGTGGTGGATATGGAAAAAATGTCAAACCATTTTGTTAGAAGATGGTTGTTGTAAGTCTTATATCATGACAGATTTATTTGAAATATGCATTTTTAATCAACCGACTTTCTATTGTGCTATAGCCTAAAGAAAGAAATCACTGCAGTGCCCCCTGCTGGTGAATGGCAGCTCACTGTTTCAGTAATGTCAGTGATTGACTGAACCAGACCCATTGCTGACATAAAGCCAAGGGTGATGCTGAAGACTGCCAGTTCATTTTAAATCACATCATTAAAATAACAGAAGTATATATCAATATAAAACTACTGTTCACTGATTCCTCTTCATTTTTTAGACATGTGATGGTTTACTGCTGTTGAGTTTGGCTGAAAAAATATGAACACTTCACAAAAAAAAATGTTTGTTTGTTAAACCTCTCCTGTTTTTATTCACTTGTCCCCTCCTTTTTAAATGAAAATTCTTTTTCTAATTAGCAATTCAGGAAATGCTTTCAGGGTGTGAACTTTTCCATGTAACATCTTGTATATAAGCACATATTCATACTTTCAATTAAAAAAAAAGTTGTTCAATTTAATCACCATAAAAATACTAGGACTGTGTATAAACCTCATGTAATCTTTAGAGCTTGTATATTAATAGTGGGGCAAAGCCACCAATCCATGCACAAAATGCCCATTGATTTCCCTGGGAATCTTTTTCCTGATTCTACAAAGGGAGTCCCATTGGGCAGAATAGGATGTAAGGCCCCAGTCCTATGAACACTTACTCACATAAGTTCCATTGGGACTAATTGTCCATAATGTTTGCAGGATCAGAACTTAAGCATGCAATATGTGGCTAGAAATGCATTTCCAGGATTTTTAATTATTTTAATAAATTGAGGAATTTTTAAGTGACATAAATGTTGCTGCTTTTATTGGTTAAGTAAAATTTAATTCCTCTGTACATCTGCAAATTCAGGAGATTTCATCTATAATCTGCCTTGCCTTTGCTTTCTCAAGACAAAATTTCCATAATGCATGATTATTAATTATATTTAATCTATAAAATTACAGTGAAGAAGATATGAAGTCTAGGTACACTTTCAAATTCAATAATGATACTATCTGCATTACTAAAGATAACATTTATCACTACTTTCACTGTCAGTCCCCCTATTTTCATAAACTCATGGGCCAGGAAAGGGATTAGTCAGGACATGCAAGCACCACAGATTGACAAGAACCAAATGGATTTTTTTTTATGGGTCCAGCAACCACTCAGCCAAAGGCTAGCAGTGGATTTTTAGTAACTTGACTGTAAAATAGTTGCTCTTAGTATAATCTTGGCATAAAATGTCAAATGATAAAATAATTTCAAAACTTTAGTTAGTTAGTTAGTTTACAATTATAGTTTTTAGATTATCCAGCTGCAGTGAAGTTTCATGTTCTGATATTGTCTAAATACATTGTAAGGAATTTTTTTACAGGTAGCATGTGTAGCAAATATGCAATTATAATACATAATATGCATTGGGCCATATTCTGACCACATTTACGCTAAGGTTAATCCAAATGGACTCAATTGAAAATAAAGAACATGTCAGCCTCAACACTGAATTTCCTAACTTTTGTTGGTTCATCTTAACAATGGTTAAGCAGAACTATTTTTTCATTTCATTGCATGTCTGAAATAGCCATTAAGGTT